CAAGGACCTCCGGGGTTGACTCGCTGACTGGGGTTGACTGGAGCGCCAGTAGGGCGCGGCGAAGGCTTCCTCGTCGCACCAGCCCCTCGGCTCGGGAGATTTTCCCGAGGTCGTCACGAACATGGCGAGGGGGCGCAGGCAGAGTGACAGCTGCCGCAGCTGACTGGTAGAGGGTGTTCCACTGGCCGGCGAGGAACTGCTGCAGACGGTTTCCATCGCTGGCCAATCTGGTCGTTTGGGCGATGACATGCGAAGAGTTAGTCGTGGGAGAAAAAGTAACAAACGCCACCCCCCGATTGAAGTTGGATTTTTCGTGAGGAAAAGGAGGGGCGTCAGCAGGGCCAGCGCGAACAGCTGGCGAATAGAGGGGGGCAGTCGCCTTGAAAGAGAGGGGCTGGCGACTATCGCACAGCACCGCGATGTCCCAACTGGCCAGTTGAGCAAATCGTGACGGATCGTGGGCCAGTTCTTCCGGGGATAGTTGCCTGGCTGCCTGGGAGGGACTGTCCAGCGGGCGGGCAGATTGTGATCCATATGTCCGTGGCCCGTGGATCTGGGAGAGGGGTTTCGAATCTCACTCCCTACCCGCCTCGGTGCCCTTTCCCCGAGTGAGCCACTGGAGTCGTCGGTGGTAGAATCCATGTGCGGTTCCTGGATATATGTACCGTCTCGTCTTTCTTCCTCATCAGTTGCCTCCCGCAGTCCCATGTCCCTTAAAGCCCGATCCGCAGCCTGCTGGAAGCCGTTCAGCGGGCCACCGTCGCGGTGTCAGATCGCCTGTCCGTGCGCGCCGCCCCGTGCCCGCCACCACCACGGCCCCTGGTTCCGCCATCCCTGCCTCCGCCGCGTCCCTCCGCGTGGCGCTGCCCCGTGGTGTGGAGCGTGGTGTAGGCGGGCGATCGCCCCGCTGCCTCGCTGTGCCCGCTCTTCGGCTTATCGGCGAGTCGGATGGCCGACCGGGCTGATCGCGCGCGAAGAGAGCGCTCCGTCGATCGCGAGAGTTCGGGGGAAACGTCCTCCCCGAGGTCGGTCGAGCTCCCCTCCCTGTCTGACCGGCGGTGGGCACGCGGGCTCCCAGCGCCGTCCACGAGCGCGCCGGCGTCCCCGATCGGGTGCGTGCGGCGACGCCGCCTCGGTTGGAAGGGCGGGCTGCGGTGGCAGAGGAACGCCACTGTCCTCGTGCTGCGTTGTCGCCGCCTGCTGTATCACGTGCGGCGGGTCCACGCCCCCCCCCTGAGCTGCCGTCTCGGCCCCTCCCGCAACAGCAGCGTGCGCCAAATGGCCCCTTGGGGCGCGCTGGCACGCGTCGGGGGCGGAGGGGGAGTGCGCTGGAGAGGCGGCTGGCGCGGACCGCCGCAACACTGGAGGGGATACTCGAGCGGGCCGGCGCTGGGCTGCTCCCAACGCCCCCGCAGCAGGAGCCCCCCCGACGGCTCCCCTTTCCACGCAGCCTCCATCTCCTCCTCGAGTCCTTCCACCGCCCCTCCCTGTCCAGCCCGCTCTTGTTGGTGCGGTTCCCCCTCAGCCGCGGCCCGTGCAACCCTGTCCCGCAATGGCGCGTGGGTTGGAGCAGTCGAGCGTACAATTCCCGGCGCCACCTCCGGCAGTTCCGCTCCCATCTGCGCCGGCGCCTCCGCGACAGCATCTGCCGCCAGGGGGCCCGTATACTGTCCTTCACCATGTCGCGCCTCCGCCGTCCTCGCACGCGCCGGTCCTCTCCCCCTCGGGTACTATGACTTGCGCCATCCGTTCCTGCCAGCGCCCCAGTTAGGCAGCCCCGCGTCATCCGCCGATACGCTCCCGGAGTGGCATCACCCCTCGTCATGGGCCGGGGCTGAGCCCAAGGTGGGGCTCTACCGCGGAGGGGGTGTGGTCGGTCCGTTTGTTCCCCCTCGGCGACGGGCGCCATCCCACGGGGTGTAGAGGCGGGGGCAGAAGCAGCGGAGACGGGGGGCCGGAGTCACCAGGGAGGGTCTCCCCGTCGAGCCGCGGACCGGGTGGCGGCCAGCGAAGGAGCGACGCCAGAGGTGGCGCGGCGGGCTCCCGCGGTAGATATGGGTCCCAGCCGCCACACTTCGTCGCTTGGCACGCTCGGAGGGGGACCGAGATATCGTGACGATGCTGGCGGGCGGCGAGCTCCGCGCTGGGGAACTCAGGGGCCTGTCAATGGCCCCGTACTTCCCCCTTCAGGGCTGCATGGAAGCAGCCATAGATCTCGCTGTGGAGGCGCGCCGCGGCCCCGGCCCGCCCGGGGAACAGGCACGGACCCTCTCACCTCTCGCCGCTCCGCCAGGTGTCGGCGAGCATAGACTCGCGTCAGCTGCAGGGCTTGTAGCTGGCGCCGTGTCCACGCTGCAGGTCCTGATGTCGGTACCAGGCCGTTGCTGGAGGAGGCCGGCTGGCGGTGTGCGGAATAGCAGGCGGCGGGAGTAGGTGCGGCGGGCCGGGTGAGTCCTGCAGTCTGAGCGCCCCTGCACGCGTATCAGGTTGCTCCATGCTGGCTTTCCACGTAGCCGATACTTGCAGGCCTTGTCTAGGAATGGGTATACTCCCGCTGACGTTGCCTATATGGGATTGTGTGTGACTTGCCACCCCATCCGCGCGGCCGAAGCCGCGCCGCGAGCGCGGCGGCCGAAGGCCGCCGACGCGAGCCGCACCAAGGGTAGGAGAAAGAGAATAACTGGAAACTAAACAAGGAGAATGAGGAGGAGAGGCCTTAAATAGAGAGGAAAGGACTTAGGCTCTCTCTCTCTCTCGCTCTCTCTCTCCTCTCTCTCGCCACCAAGGCTAGGAGAAAGAAATACTGAAACTAAACAAGGAATGAGGCAGGAGGGCCTTAAATAGAGAGGAAGGACTTCAGGCTCTCTCTCTCTCTCTCTCTCTCTCCTCTCTCCTCCCTCTATCTGCTCTCTTCTCTTCTCTCTCTCTCTCTCTCTCTCCTCTCTCTCTCTTCCCCTCTCCCTCTCTCTCTCGCTCTCTCTCTCTCCCTCTCTCTCTCTCTCTTTCTCTCTCTCTCTTCTCTCTTCTCTCTCTCTCTCTCTTCTCTCTCTCTCTCTCTCAAGCGGTCCGTTTATTGCTTGGAAAACTGGTACAGGCTAGGCAGGCAAGGGCAGACAAGTCAAGGTACGTGCATGTTTAAGGGCTCGGAATCTACTCGAGCTCCCCTAGGGGCTCTGCTATGGCAAAGCAGTCCCCAGGTGCCATATCGGCGTCAGGGGTGCCCACTGGGGTGTGGGGTGGCGGGGGAGGCTTCATTACTTTGCCCAGGTAAGCCAAGGCCTGTGCCCGCTGCAGCGTCACTGACCAGCGTTGGCGAAACTGGTGGAGCAGTTTCGCTGCCTGGTAGGAGCTGGGGTCTGCATTGAAAGTCTCCTGGCCCCTGTGTCAGCCAGCAGCTTCAAGAAGGTAGGGACCTCGGCGCAGGGGCAGCCATATGTCTCGACTGCCAGTGGGAAGAAACCAACGTAGGAGCCCGATTTCGGTAATGGGAGATTTTCTTGTCAGCTTGCTCCCGGCCATGTATCCACGTCCTTTTCTTGCGTCCGGGTCCCGGCTGCTGATGGGATCTGTGACGGTGACGTCACAGATCCAGACGGCTCCGGAACTGCGGTCTCGGAGGGCGAGGTCGGCCTTGTGGCCGTCTACGGGGCTGTAGATGGTGGTCTCCTTGGTGACTATAAATCAGCGTCTCGGGCCATCCGATGCTCTCGTCCCGCAGGGCATTATGGGTGTCAGTCCGTCCGTGCCCGGTGCCACACCGAGTAGGTGGTTGGGCAGCCTAGTGTCGAGGATTTCGAATTCCTCGGCGCAGTTGCAAGTGCGGGGGGCTGGGAATGGAAGGCCGAGGCGGAAGGCCAGGGCAATGGCGAAGTGTGGAGCTTTGAGGCGGAGGGATGGGAAGATGGGGATGGCTGAAGCCAGTCCCCTGCTCCATATCCAGCCAAGGAGAAAGAGTCGTTGAGTGTGCCCGGAGTGGGGTTTGGGTCCATTGTCCGTGAGGCTGCGACTTGGTCGGCGTATCGCACGGCCTGGACCTCGAGGGATAAGCGGTGTTGGAGAGGGGAGCCTGAGGGTTCCCTCCTCTCGGAGTGCAGGAGCTCCCGGGCTCGTGGGGGCATCGCCGCTTCACATTTCACCAGCCAGGTATGCAAGTGGGTGGGACTGGTGAACGGAGGCGTGAGGTGCCGGACAGAATCAGCCAGGGGCCCTCCTGACGCTGCTGGGAGGGCAGCCAAGAGGCCCTGGGCTTGGGTGATGCTGGTGAGGTAGGCTGGGTGTCCCTCAATTGCTGGGTCGGTGAGACCCAGCCCTCCGAGAGAGGGAGGGAGGGACGCTTGAGCCCAAGTGCGCGCTCGCTCCACCTCGCCTCGTGGTGGTTGGAGGTTGCAGGCGCGCAGAAGAGTATGGAAGAGCTCCCTACCCCAGTCGGACCAGAGGTCCAGGGGTAGGAAGTCAAGGGGGGTGGTGCGGGTTAAGTATGAGATACGCCGAGATACGCAGCGTGTGAGGAGGAGGGATGACGACTGAGGGTCCATTGTGGCCAGTGTGGCAAGGGGCTCGGCCAGCAGGGCTAGCTGAGTGCGGAGGAAGGTGGCTGTGCCCTCGGCCGTGCCTATGAAGCTGCCAAGCACGCGGACCCCTTCTGTAGTTGAAAGGAATGTCTGGGGGGAGGCGGTCAGGTGCAGGGTGCTCGGCCGACCATGCCGCGCATTTCGCGGGGTTGTGGGAGAGACCGATGCGGTCCATGGCCGCTGTGAAGTTGAGGAACGCCGAGGTGCAGGCGTCCGGATCGCCGACGAAAGTGATGTCGTCGGCGTACGCGAGGCAGAGGACCTCGGGGTGGGCCGCGGCGGTTGCCGGAGCGCTGGGTGGATGGCGGCTGCGAAGAGGAGGGGGCCCATGGGGTCCCCTTGGCGAACTCCCCGCGCGCTGAGTAGGGGTGGGCTGTCGAACTCGGCGTCGAGGTAGAGCAGAGACGGGGCGCCATAGGAGAATTGTATAAAGGGAAGAGCAGGCGCAGGGGCGAGGTGTTGATTGCGTGGATGATGGCCGCGCGGTCAACACTATTAAAGGCGTTTGAAAGGTCGACTTGTAGGATGAGTGAGCCCGGGCGCGCTGAGGTAAAGCCCCTGGTGGCATGGATAATGGTTTCTCCGCCGCTTCTGATGGCTACCCCGTATTGGTGTGGTAGGAAGTAGTCTTGCGCGGATTGCGTGGAGGAGATCAGGGCGGATTTTGCTGCTAGCCGATGGAGACACTCTCCTATTGCGATGGGGCGGGTACCCCCATCTGGCTTGGTAAGGGCCAGGAGGCGTGAGGAGGTAACGAGCTGGCTGACCTCGTGCGGCAGGTTACCCGCGAGTAACCGCTGGACGAGCTGGTGAAGATGTGTGGTGACGGTGGGGTTGGACAGCGAGGCATCGCGAAGGTGCTCGAAGGTCATCCCCGAGGGGCCTGCCCCAACTCCATTTTCGGAGCGAGAGAGGAGCTTCGCGAACGTAGCGAAATCGACTGTCGGTGGCCTGCAGGTTTCGTCAAGCTGTGGCCAGGTGAGGTTTTCGACGAGCGGAGGGGGGTGTTTTGACTTCAGCGCGTCCAGGACCGTGGGGGTGGACTTGCTGACTGGGGTCGAAGTCAACGCGAGCAGTGCCCGTCGCAAACTGCCTCGTCGTACCAAGCCCTCGGCGCGGGATATTTTCCCAAGAGTGTCAGGTACGTGGCGGGGAGGGGGTGGCAGGGTGACAGCAGAGGCGGCTGCTTGATACAGTGTGTCCCAATGGCCCGCGAGAAATTGTCGAAGTCGTCGTTCCGTCGCGGGCCAGTCAGGACGTCGTGGTGAGGGTAGGCGAAGTGTGAGGCGCGGGAGGTAAAGTAACAGGATCCAACCCTCGATGGAGGTTGGATGTTTGGCGAGGAAAAGGAGGGGTGTCAGTAGGGCGAGCACGAAAAATTGACGGATTTGGGGGGGTAACCGGCGGGAGAGAGGGGGTTGGCGACTGTCGCAGAGAACTGCAACGTCCCAAGTGGCGATGACGGCGAATCGGGAGGGGTCATTCGCCAGTTCTTCCGGGGACAGCTGCGGAACTGCCTGGGGATGGGTGTCCAGCGGTGCCCGAGGATTGTGCATGCGGCTGGACCCTCGTCCCCTAGATCTGGGAGTTGGGTCAGTCTCTCTTCCTCCAGCGCGCCTGCTTGTTTCGACGTCTTCCTCCTCACTGGAGGTCTCAGTCGTGGGGTCTTCCTGCTCCCCGGGTACATAAGTTCCGTCTGCCCGCTCCTCCTCAGCAGTTGTTCTTTGCAGATCCGAGGCACTTAAAGCCCTGTTCGCTGCCTGCTGGAATCCGTTCAGCGGTCCTCCGTCGGAGGACAGATTGCCACGCCTTGCCGCCCCGCGACCGCACCCTCCGGCTGTCCGTGTATTGAGTCTTCCGCGTCTGCCTCCGTGGTTTCCTCTCGGGGTGGCCCTTGTCGCCGTTCGGCTTTCGTGCCGAGTCGTGGGGGGTGCCGAGTGCGGCGCGCCTCCTCGGGATGGAGCGACCTGCGCGGGAGCGTTCTGCCGATTTGGAGAGTACTGGGGACAGCGAGTCCCCCCAAGGTCGGGCGAGTCCTCCGGCACCGTCGAACTGAGATTGGGAGCGCGGGCTCCTCGTCCCCTCGACGGCTCGCCAACAGACTCCCGAGCGGATGCGTGGGCAGTCTCGGGGCAGGACTGCTGCGCCCCAGAGGCACGAGGAGAAGTCCCCGAGCGCGCCTTGGAGATGGGTCGTGAACCCGTGGCGCGTGGCGAGGTGCATCAGTCGCCGCGCCAGCAGCATCCCTCTCGCCGAGGGACGCCTCAGCGCCGCCCACAGGCGGGGCCGGCGCAGCAGCGCCGGACTCCGCAGGCGCCGCGCGGGCGTTCGGGCCAGCGCGTCGGCTGGAGGGCTGGCGGGGGGAGTAACCGTGGATCAGCAGCGGAGAGGCGCCTAGGGCGGGCCGCCGCGACTCTCGAGGGCTTGTTCCGCACTGTCGCCCACCCCCAGCAGGCTCTGGCGTATGCTCCGCAGCCTCTGGCGTCCCAGCAGTACCAGCAGGCGCACCCGCAGCCCTTGCGTTTCCCCCTTCCTCAGGTGCCGGCGCAGGTGTTCCCTCCCCGCACCGTGACGTCTCTCCTGCTCCCCGACAGCCAGCACCTCGTGGCGTCCCTTCCCTCTGCACCTCCTCCGCCAATCCTTCCCTCGGCCGGTCCCTTCGATCCGCGTCGGTCGGATGTGCGGTCCGCGGAGACACTGCCGCCCTGGCAGCCGACGCCCCCGGATGCGTCGGTGGTAGGATGGCCCCGTGGCCAGCCGTCGTTGGTGGCACCAGCATCGTTTGGCGAAAGGGCGACAGCGCCCTTTGTCCCCCCCGCCGTTCGCTGGCGTCACCGACTGGAGTTGAGGGGGGGGCAGAAGCAGCGGAGATGGGGGGGGCGGAGTCCACCGGCGAGGACTCGCCTCCTGGGGACCAGGGGCGGCGTCGCTCGGGTGGGCTGCGGATGCCGCCGAGGGCGCAGCTGGAGCGCCTGCGGGGGAGGGAGCGGCTGGCGGAGACTGCGATCCCAGTCGCCACGCTTCGTCGGCTCTGGCACGCGCAGCGGGCGATGGGGTTTGCTTTGGAGATGCTGACGGACTCACACTCCGTTCTACGGAGCTCAGTGAGCCCGTGCAAGATGCCTCACGATCCACTCCACCGCTGCGCGATGGCTGCAGCTGATCTGGCTGTCGTGTCCACGCGAGTGCAGTCTGCGCCCGCCTCGGGAACCGTGTTGGACCCGCGCCTGCTCGCCGTGATGCGGACAGTATCGGCGAGCGTAGACTCGGCTGCAGCTGTAGACATCGTTGGCGGTGCCGTGTCAGCGCTGATGCTCCTGGGGGACTATGTGAGGGCCCTGCTTGAGGAGGCTGGAGCGGACGAAGCCGCATGATGGGCTGTCGTCGTGTGTAGGTTCTTGTTGGTGAAGTGCGCCCTAGCGTGAGCGTTCTGGTAAGCTCTGTCAGGTTCTCCATGCTTGTTTGTCGAGTGTAGTGTTGGCGTGTTGTAGACCCCGGATGTGTGTATTGGTTGTTGGCGTAGTTGACTTTGAAGCCTGGTGTTCTTGCCGCCCCTCACGCGCGGCCGGAGGCCGCCGACGCGAGCCGCCACCAAGGGTGGGAGAAAAAGAAAGAACTGGAAACTAAACTGGAGGAATGAGCTAGGGAGAGAGCTTAAATAGCTAGGGAGGGACTCATGCTCTCTCTCTCTCTCTCGCTCTCTCTCTCTCTCTCTCTCTCTCTCTCTCTCTCTCTCTCTCTCTCTCTCTCTCTCTCTCTCTCTCTCTCTCTCTCTCTCTCTCTATGCGAAGCTCACTAAAAGTTTAGTGTCAAGGCTTATCGCGATTGCCCACTGCATTAACTTGCTTTCAACACCGATTTCCAACCCTTCATTGTTGTATCTCTCTTATTCCCACCCACGCCACACAGGGATCTCTCGTCCAACATGTTCACTGACTCCATTCCCAGCAGCATCCTCTCGCTCACTCAACTGGTTTCTCTGTACGTAGCTCATTCAATTCTTGCAATCACTCTATGCCAGGGTTGCATCGCTATTGCTTGTGACATCATCTCTAGCGTTCCTCGATCCAGTTCCAGAGCATGCTTGGATGATCTCTGACTGGTTAAACGGCATCTGAACCTCGTGGAAACCATGTGCTCCGCATGCTTGCCTGGACCTTCCACCCATTCCAACATACATGCTTTCAAGATTTTCCCCTTGATTTTCCTAACCAGCTGAGCATTCACCTTGCAAGTAGACATGGGCAAAATGCGATTGCGATTTAAATCGCATCGCATTGCGGGGTGATTCGATTAAATGCGATGCGATGTAAAATTACATCGCAGCATTTAATTTCTGGAAATTTTTAAATCGCACATCGCGTTCTGCACGTGATGAATATTAGGACCGCATGCGGTATTGAATTAAATCGCGCGATGCGATTTTAAATCGCATCGCGTTTTAAAACACAATGAAAAAAACAAAAACAAAAAAGAAATAAAACCATGGCTGCTGGGAAATTGAATCACGGGCAGTCGTAAGCTAGAGTGCAAATAAATAGTGTGGTTTTGTAGTGGGTTTCAGAGTGGGTCTCAGTTCAACATCGCGTGTTAGAAAAAAAAAAGAAAAAAAAACAAACAAACAAACATATCGCATTTAAATCGCGTGTTACAACGCGATTAAACTGCGATTTAAAAAAATCACACGATAATGAATTCATTGCACTGCGCGATGATTATATTAAAAAACAAATCGCAAAAAAGCGATGCGATGGGATTTTTCTTGCCGGTGTCTACTTGCAATTGCAAGTGACTCATTCTGTGAAACCTTCGTTGGATGTACGCTAATGCAGTTGTATTGTTTTCGAAGAGTTTTTTTTTTACATCGTTTTGCTAATGGTTATGGTGGTCAGCTAACAAAATTCTCTGGGCTGCCCAGACAGTTCCATTTTGCACCAATATCCGTTCCCCTCACAGAACTCCTATGCATGATTGCCAGAACCCATGCAGAAATTTTGCAGTTGCTTTTCGATTTTCTGCTCGCCATTTGACCGGAATTACGGCATCCCCTTTTTAATGCACCATGCCCCCTTCTCTGTGCCACTTTCCCTATTTCACTCCCTCCACAAAATCCAGCACCTCTCCTTTCACACGCGTACTCGGAAACACGCCATACTTCCTAGTTGTTTCGGAGTTAGTTAACGGCCAAAACTTTGGTAGTGTCTTGTTTTCATGGCATTTGTTTTCGACCATCCGATGCATACGCTAATTGTTGGCTTTGACGTTGAAAAAACGCGCAAGCTGCATTGCCATGGCTTAAATCGGATCTAAAGCTGATTTAACGACAGACGAGCTCCTGAAAGGTTTTTTTGTTCTCGATCCATTTGGGCCGAGAGATGTAATGTAATCTCCATGGAGTTTTCTGCCTGGCTCTACTAGTCCCTGCCCTCTTTCCCTCCCCTTTCTCCCTCTTCCTTGCACGGACTACTCGTCATGGTCAAACAGAAATTTAGGTGGAAATCCTTAAATGGATCCATTCCAGCCTCTCTTGACTCAATGGTCATGTTGGAGAATCTGTGAGTATCATGACAACAGTAGCCGGGGGGTGCTGGAGCCAACTAACAACAACGCTTGATGGCTTTTCCTTTTCTTGCTCCGGTGTGTGTTCGATTTTCTCAATTAATGTTTTACATTAAAGATCCTCCTTCTATCTATTTCTTTTATTTCCCTCCCTTGGTTCCTTTACCCCTGGTATTCCGTCTTCTTTGCGTTACCCATGGGTTACACCATTACTCTTTACGGACTGTCAGAAATCTGAGTGGAAGCCACTTGAAAGGGTCCATTCCAACTACTCTTGGCAACATGGGCAGCTTGAAGTCTCTGTGAGTATAGACATTGGCAGCAGTACTGCCACTTCTTCTTTAAGGCGCACTAGCGTCTGACTATTACATTGCTGCATACACTCCTGTTCATGGCTATCACTGCAGTGCCTGCAGTTCTCTTCACAATATCGGGAACCTTGCTTGAGTTATCCTGTAGTTTAGAATTGTCGACAGTCTCTTTTGCCACACATTTCCGTATCAGCGTATTCATTGCGAAATATGTTGGTCCAAACCACCCAAATCCAAATGTGGATGGAAAGAGAGAAACGTGGAAGCACAGGTCTTTGTTTCCAAACCCGTGATATAACCGTTCTTCCCTGTGCACCTACGTTCAAATGAGCAGGTACATGAATGATAACCAGCTCACTGGGAGCATTCCGGGCTTCAACAACACAATGAATCTGACTGAACTGTACGCATACGTCTGTATTTTGTTATTCCACAAGCACAATTTTAAAGGACATCATGCAAGTGCATTGTCACAAGCGAAACAGCAGTCACTGCTTGGAGAATGTGAGAACCAAGCATGCATGCATACATGCACACACACACACACACACACACACACACACACACACACACACACGCACGCACGCGCGCACGTACGCACATGCACGCACGCACGCACGCACGCACATGCATGCATGCATGCATTTCTTCGTAGTGTTGACAAGTAAGGACAAACGGTTATCAGGTTTGAGTAATACTGCAAGCTAACTCTCAGCATGGTCATCAGTTCTATTCCTGCTGCAAGTTTGGACTGTTTGTTGTATAATCAAATGTGTACAATATGTGCACGTCTAAATGGTCTTATGTCATTGCTAATGCTCCGAGAAGATGCTGGAAAAGTTGCAATTTGTGCAGACTCCCTTTTTTTAATAGGCGCATTCAGCTTTGCCACGATGTTTAGATGTCAATGTTGTATATTGTCGTTACTTCACGCTGTTCTCCACTATTGTTGTATGCTGCCTCTACTGGTTACACACTAAGTGGGAAAATTCGCGTTTCGCGTAAATTCGCTAACGAATTTACGCTGGCGTAAATTCGCTCGAACGCCAGGGCCCTGTTTTGAATTCGTTGGGAAATTCGTTCTGCCCGGGCAGGAAAAAAATGCCCGGGCAGGCCCAAAAAAAAAGTTCCCAGGTAGGGGGGCGTGGGGGGTTTCAGGGCAACTCTTTTTAGCAGAAAATTATTATTGCTTCTCAAAGTTTATGGCAATAGCATGTTCTAGAGTTTGGGGGGTATCCTTTGCATTAACACGCCCTGCAGCAACCTACAGCAAGATGATGAACCATACTCATGAGGTAAGCTAATGTCTATGCTTAAACTAGATCTTCTAGCTATGACGCGGAGTGATAAGCTAGATCTACTCTACGTCTGGTAGAGTAGCGTGTGAGATGCGTGCGTGATATGGTTGCGTAAGTTGGGTGGTGGATGGGTTGGGTTCTCTAGATGTGGTGGGGTTTGATGCGGTTGGGAGCGTGGGAGGGGTTGGAGCATTTTTGGAGGTTCAAAAGTTAGAATCGCGAATTGGCGAGGCCACGGATGGCTTCGCCAAGTCGCTGCGAATCGAGTTGGGAAATTCGTGTTTTTTTGTCCAGGCTGCCCCAAAAAATTTCCCCCAGCGTTTCGCGAATTTCATGTAAATTCGCGTTTGCGAATTTACGCTTCCGAATTTACGCAAAACGCTGGGGGACCCCAACGAATTTGCCCACTTAGGTTACACACACTCTCTCACTCTCTGTACATACGATCCTTGTTCTTCTGTGTCTCCTCCTGTCCATCAGGGTGTTGAGTGGGAATCAGCTGAGTGGGCTCATCCCCCCCTCTATTACCTTCTGCAAACAGCTTCAACGTCTGTGAGTTTCCAGTTCGCTCATTCTACAGCCGCTGCTGTGTACCATGGATAAGCAGCAGGCTGTGGAGCAAACGGTGCTACTGCTACCCTTGCCATGGCTTTTGCTAATCTTGCCACAGTTTTTGAGAGGTGCCGATATTTAGCTTGTACAAAAGATGCCTTGCCATGTGGTCACTCTACAAGACGACTACCAGCACGCAAGGAAAATATATCCATGTCACTCGATTGTATTCCAGGTGGCTCGACAACAATTCACTGAGTGGGATCCTTCCAAAACTTCTTGGGATTATGACTCAGCTTACCTCCTTGTATGAAAATACTTCATACTTCTTAGTGCTGCTGTGTCATACTTATTTGGTTGTTGCAATTCCATCAAGCAATCAGCAGATTAATTGTTACCCTAATGGCCAAGCATGTCTGAGAGGTGGACAACAGTCTCACGGCCCCATACACCTATCCACATCATCCTTATGGCTGCAGGAGAATCAATGACACTAGTCTCAGTGGAACATTGCCAACATTTCTTGGGAGTTTCAGTTCCCTCGATTCACTGTACGTGAAGCACTAGCCATCCACCACATGGTCTGCACCGCCCATGGCATGGAGCTATGCATGGCGGCTGCAGAGCATGTTTGCTACAAATCGAAGGTGATTTTTGAGTCGACTCAAAAAGCATGTTTGCTACAAATCGGTAACAGCATCTGAGGCTCTTCAGACTAACCAAATCTTTGTGGCGAAGTGTGCTGGGGGACGTTGGAGGTGGTAGGTATTGCTATGGGTAAGAGCAACGAGTCAATGAGAAGTTCAACATGTTGAGATGTCAATGAGAACCGTGAATGGCCTACTAAGTGGCATAAATTATATTGATTTTTAACTAAACTCCAACATGTTGCGATATTACGGATCAATGAGAACAGTAAATGCCCTACAATGTAGCAGATGCCTATGTATTCCACCTTTCCATCTCCCTTATCTCTTACAGCAACATCAGCGGCACAAACCTCACGTGCCCACCGGACTACATCGCCTGTGGACCAACACAGTCGCCTAAGACAGCCTTCTGTCGAACGTGCCCTTCCTTCTGCAGCACTTGTGGCAAACCATCACCAGGTATGCGGAAAAGCCTGCTTGCACGAGAGCAAGACAGTGTTGGTGAAAAATCTTCCCTGCGCAAGGCATGACATAAGCTGCGGCTCCCATGGGCTGAATTGTAACACTGGCTTTAGATAACCAACAGAGTGCACTACAACATGGCACCAGTGTTTTTCAACCACGGATCTGCAGCACTAAGACCAGTCATTATTCTCATGTCGTGCCATTACAATTGGTGCACCACCCACGACATCCTCCCCTGTGCAAGTTTGACGGCTCGTCAGACTGCAATAAGCTGTGCCCTTCATCTCTGGTTTGACACTCTGCTCAGCTGCACCTTCTTCAACTTGTGGGAATGAACTGGTTGTTATGCCCCTATCATTGGTCTATGCTCGTGTAGGGTCAGCCACAAGCAACAGCAGCCCCAGCAGCACCGAGTCATCTTCACCAGCAGCATCTGGAGGAGGGGGTGTGTCGGTGGGAGTCATCATTGGCATTGCCGTTGCGGCTGGGGTCATTCTTCTGCTTCTCATTGCGGCTGGGGCCATTCTTCTCTACTTCAGGCACAAGATGGAGCAGAAGAAAACAAGTAAGGAGAATGGAGAAAACAACAGAAGTTGCAAAACGTTCATGGTCTTAATTTAGACACTTTGTTTTTTCTATGCAGTTAATTTCAGCATAACAGCATGCACGGGGCAAGCTTTTCTTTGCATGGGACTCCCTTCATCCCTCTCCCCACAAGCAGGCCTGGAAACCAGCCTGGCCGCTGCACACTGCACCGAGTTCTCTCTGGCTGAGGTCCTCAAGGCCACCAACAATTGGTCGGAGGACAACCAGCTTGGCTCGGGTGCCTTTGGTGATGTCTACAAGGGCGTGTCTCCCCGCGATGGCACCACAGTGTGGGCTGTGAAGCGAGCCAAGCTGATTGACGTGGATTTCCAGAGGGAGGTCCGTGAGCCGCACCTTGGGAGTGGCTGGACTGCAGGAAATTAGTGAAGGGAAATGTTTTTAAGACTTTCTTGTGTTAAGTGTATCCGACGATTCAAGCTTGTGGGGTCTTCTCTCTACGTTCCTATATTTTGGTTGGTCCTTGTTCCTTGCTTCTTATTCCGTTCTTCATTCTCTTGGCTCCCTTTGTTCCTCTTTCTCCACTTCTTTCTCTACTCCGCTGTGCTCACTTTCTCTTTCAGATCCTCCAAATGGCCGACAAGAACCATCCCAACATTGTGCGGCTGCTCGGGTTTGCGGTTGGAGGGGACGTGAGGTCGAAAATCGAGCAGATCTTGATCTACGAGTTTGTGTCCAATGGCGATCTCCACAAGTGGATTGATCGCGGTGAGTGTGCAAGTCACTGTACCACATCACTCAGGTATCGGAATCCAGGAGTGCAAGGGAGGAGGCGGTTCTTTGGGGGGGTTTCGGTCTATACGACTTGACGCCTAATGTGCTCGAAGTGCTAAGACGTGAACTTTTTGACACTACTCGAAGAGGCTGGGCTCACTTCTGATGGTGTGATGGATGTGTGTTGGCGTCGAGTCCTGTGCAAGTTCAAGGCATGAGTGTGTGAAAAGAAGCAATCAGACTCCTCACCAGAAATGCTTGTCAGTCTGGAACCAATCACATCTGTCAGTATCTCAACTGTCTGACTTGGGGATATGTTATGGAGCAGGCTGGACGTGCCAATGAAGGTGGGGTGTTAACCCAGACACATAATCTGCTGTTTGGTGTGAAAATAACCGACACAGACAGCATTCTCTACGTATCCATCTGTTTCAAGCAGACAACTTCTAGGGGAAAGGGGTCGGTTTTCCTGTATGGCTATCCTCTTGTCGTGTATGATCGGTGCAAATGTCTTTGGCCTTTATGCCACTTGCTGACAGCATGGAAGGTTAGGTCTATGCGCACGCTGTGTGCGGTTGAATCTGTCACTACTACGTAATTCCACAGATTCAGCTCAATTTTGTCAGATCAGTTATGAGATGGGTGGAATTATGTCACCCTCTCTATGTTGATGTGTTCACCGTTGTTGTCAACTTCTTTTCTTATTCTTTTGCAGATGCATCCAATCCTCTAAGCTTCAAGCAGCGGCTGGACATTCTCATTGGAATTGCACGCGGCTTTGAGTACCTCCACAGCTTCGACATTGTGCATCGCGACATCAAGCCGGCAAACATCCTCATTACTGCTGACATGCAGGCAAGCTTGGTTCCACCTCAACTTGTGTCATGGTCTCGAAACAGAAGGGACATGCATGAATCAAGAGTGCATTCGGACAAAGCTCACATGGGCAACAACAGTGTGACCTTCTTTTTGAGTTGTTTTTGCCTTTTTCTCTTACACTCAAGTTTCTCTTCTCGATCACTGTTTCCTTTGCTCTTCGCTCATTGATGCTATCACCCGACCGCTCACCACCAGGCCAAGATTGCAGACTTTGGGCTTGTGAGGGCGGGAGAGGGCACCACAGTGGGCGCTACTCGAGTCATGGGAACGCCGGGCTATCTGGATCCAGTTTACTCCAGGACGTCACTGGCAACTTCTGCCAGCGATGTCTACAGGTGAATTTAGAATCCCATAAGATCATGGCATGTAATTTAGATGACTCTTGGAGGTGCGATAGTCTAGGATTAACCTGGAACCGGCTCTACTCATTTCTGGCAACGCACAAGCAACGCATGAGCATGGAACCGTCTAGATTCTTTTGTTCTTCTTAATAATACCTTCTTGCTGCTCTCACCATCCCTCTTGCTTGACAGCTTCGGTGTGCTCATGCTTGTGGTCCTCACGGGGGAGGCTCCAATTGTTGAGTCGGCTGGAGAAACCAGGCAGATCACTTCTTGGGTGAGTGCAACCACCTTGTTGCATGTCTGCAAGTGAAGCCAATGAATCAGATATTTATGTCATTAGCTGCCTTTCACTCATCACCCCTCTTGTGCGTTTTCTCTCAGGCATTCGAGTGCGTGACCTTGGGTGACTTGGGGAGCCTCACTGACTCCAAAATTGAGGCCCCTGGGGATGCTGTGCTGCGTGTGACTCAGCTGGCGATCAGCTGCACTGTGGAGCGCACTGCAAGCCGGCCAAGCATGGCTCACATTGCCAACGAGCTGAAGGCCATCCGGGATGAGGTGGCGGGGAAGGATGAGCTGAGCGCTGCGAAGAAGGTGGATGCGCAGGTGCAGGAGATGAAGGAGGCATTTGGAGATGTGGATGCGTTTGAGGAGTCACTCAAGATGATTGGGGAGAGTTTTTCCAACGAGAACCATGTCTAAATCCGTTAAGGGTGTGATCATCGGAGGCCGGCTTCAGATTTCTTAGTACCGTTGATGTAAGTTGCCTTTTTGTTCTATGATGGTGGTGTTTTATTTTGTTTGCATCATGTCATCGTACTGTTGATCATTTTTGTCAAACGTGTGTATTTGTCATGTTTGTATAGACTGTATAGGGTCGCCTCTTAGAGGGTACAAAACTTAGGTATATCTGTGTGTACTCTCACTCCATCATTATTCACTTCTCTAATCTGATATGGTATCACGCGTAGGTTAGGATCCCTTCCCACCTACCGCTTCCGCTCGCCCCCCCTAGCCCCGTCGTGCCCCTAGCCTCGTCGCGACCCCCCTAGCCCCGTCGCACCCCTCTTGGGCCCCGTAGCGCCCCTCCTGGGCCCCGTCGCGCCCCTCCTGGGCCCCGTCGCGCCCTTCCTGGGCCCTGTAGCGCCCCTCCTGGGCCCCGTCGCGCCCCTCCCAGGCCCCGTCGCGCCCCTCTTGGGCTCCGTAGCGCCCCTCCTGGGCCCCGTCGCGCCCCTCCTGGGCTCCGTAGCGCCCCTCCTGGGCCCTGTAGCGCCCCTCCTGGGCCCCGTCGCGCCCTTCCTGGGCCCTGTAGCGCCCCTCCTGGGCCCCGTCGCGCCCCTCCCAGGCCCCGTCGAGCCCCTCCTGGGCTCCGTAGCGCCCCTCCTGGGCCCCGTCGCGCCCCTCCTAGGCCCTGTAGTGCCCCTCCTGGGCCCCGTCGCGCCCCTCCCAGGCCCCGTCGCGCCCCTCCTGGGCTCCGTAGCGCCCCTCCTGGGCCCCGTCGCGCCCCTCCTAGGCCCTGTAGCGCCCCTCCTGGGCCCCGTCGCGCCCCTCCCAAGCCCCGTCGCGCCCCTCCTGGGCTCCGTAGCGCCCCTCCTGGGCCCCGTCGCGCTCCTCCTAGGCCCCGTAGCGCCCCTCCCTGGGCCTCGTCGTGCCCCTCCTGGGCCCTGTAGCGCCCCTCCTGGGCCGCGTCGAGCCCCCTCCTGGGCCCCGTCACGCCTTCAGGCCCCGTCGCACCCGCCCGGCCCCGTCGCACCAGCCCGGCCCCGTCACGCTCGCCCGGCCCCGTCGCACCCGCCCGGCCCCGTCGCCCCCTGCCTGGCCCCGTCGCAGCCGCCCGGCCCGTCGCACCCGTCCGGCCCTGTCGCGCCCGTCCAGCCCCGGTGCGCCCCTCCTGGGCCACCGTCCTGCTCGCCCGGCCCCGTTGCACCGGCCCGGCCCCGTCGAACCGCCCGGCCCCGTCGCACCAGCCCGGCCCCGACGCACCCGCCCGGCCCCGTCGCACCAGCCCGGCCCTGTCGCGCCCGCCCGGCCCCGTCGCACTCGCCCGGCCCCGTCGCACCCGCCCGGCCCCGTCGCACCAGCCCGGCCCCATCGCGCCCGCCCGGCCCCGTCGCCCCCGCCCGGCCCCGTTGCACCGACCCGGCCCCTGCGCTCGTCCCTTCCCCGGCCCCGGTCCTCCTCACTGGTACGGTTCTCCCCCCCCCCCCCCCCCCCGCCCTGCACTGCCCTGCACCGTACTGCCCCGCACTGCACCACCCCGCACCACCCTGTACTGCCTGGCACCGCACTGCACAGCCCTACACCGCACTGCACCGCACTGCGCCGCACTGTACCGCACGGCACCGCACTCCACCTTGCTGCAGTGCCCTGCACCGCACTGCACTGTTCCTGATGGCGGCGGAGCTTCGCTTCGACGCTAAAGGCCAGCCTTTGGAGTTCGAGGCGTGGCTTGCCGACCTCCGTCGCGAACTCACTGGCCAGCAGCAGGATGGTGAACCGCTTTCCGCACACCTTGACGGTACGCTCCCCTGCCCAGACCCCCCTGCTATTCTGCCCGCTGACTCCACACCCACTGAGCGCGAGTCCACTGCTGCCACTGCCCGTGCGCGCTCTGTCTGGCTTTCTCGCGATGCTGTCGCCCAGCTTGCCATTAGCAACGCCCTTCCCCCGTCCGAGCGCCCTCGCTTTAGGTCTCTCACTACTGCTCAGGCATACTTAGATGCTGTCATCCAGCGCTATTCCACCCCTCCGGCTGCCTCGGTGGGTCGCCTGATCCTCCCGATGCTCTTTCCTGACCTTGCATCTTTCCCCACTGTCTCTGACCTCGCTGCCCACCTGCGCTCGATAGATGAGACCTGGCGCGCTGCCTGCACTGACGCACAGCTTAGAGCACACCAGCCGCCCATTACCTCTACCCTCTACCTGCTTGCCACCCGCCTCCCTGACCGCCTTGCTGTCGCCCGCGACCGCTTCCTTAGCATTCACCCCGCAGACCTCACCCTCACTGACTTTGTAGACACCCTGACTGTGATAGAGACCCGTCACTGCTCCATCGCCCAGGCGAGCGGTGTCGTGCCGGTCCCTATCTTTCAGGGTTGTGCCCCCGCCCAGTGTACTTTCTCCGACGGCTCTGCCGCAGTGGCTGAGACTGCTGCTGCAGTGCAGTTTCGTTCGGGGAAGGGCCGCCGCCCCAAGGCTGGGCGCGGCGGCGGCGGCGGGGGGGGTGCGGGAGGGGGTAGTGGTGGTGTCGGGTCGTCTGGTGCTGGAGCGGACGAGGGGACCCTGCCCAGTCCAGCTGAGCCACCGCCCCTGCAGTTGCAGCAGCCGCAGCAGCCGTCGCAGACGCGCCAGACGAGTGTCCTCCCGCCCGGGTTGCCCGGCGCTGGCGGTGGCCGGGCGCGTGGTGGTGTGCCGAGTGGTGGCTCTGGCGGCGGGCGTTGTCAGTACCAGATCCAGACCGGTCCTCGCCGCGGCTTCGTTTGCGGTAAGATCGGTCTCTCCACTCCCCGCTGTTTTCGTCGCCTGGACGACCTCTTTCGTCAGCGCTTCGGCCCGTCGCCAGACCTCCCAGACTGGCACAGTTTGCTTAGTCGTAAGATTCAGATTTTTGATATGGACATGGATGCCATTGTTTCTGCTCTGCATGTGATGTATGCTGATGACTCTAGTGTGCTTCCCGCCTATTACTCACTGTTGCCTAGTGTAGGTGTGCCAAGCTTAGCCTCCCCTGCTGCGTCAGGCGTAGGATCTCTTGCTTTGTGTAGTCTTGGTGCTTCCGCCGGCGTTCCGTCGCCAGACGCCTCTGCTTCGCTTTCCTTCACCTTGGACTCTGGCGCTTCTCGGTGTTTCTTCCGCGACTCCACCACCCTGACGCCGCTTCCTGTTCCAGCTGTCGTTTCTCTTGCTGACCCCTCCGGCGGTCCGGTAGTCGCTCGCAGTTCCACCACCCTTCCCTGTCCGGCCGTTCCTTCGGGCACTCTCACAGGTCTGCATATCCCCTCGTTCTCCAGGAACCTAGTTGGTGTCGGCTGCCTCCAGGACCTTGGCGTCACCACTACGTTCCCTGGTCACGAGCGGTATGCTGTCTGTACCGAGGCCGCCACTGGTGCCCCCCTGTCCACGTTCCCCCGGGACCCGGTGTCCGGCCTGTTCACTCTGGACACCGTGACCCCCCCGGCTGGAGCGCTCACCCAGGTTGCTGCTGCCTGCTCCTGTCGGTCCCTCACTCACCCGACCCTCCTTTGGCACCACCGCCTAGGTCACCCTGCGCTCCCGCGTCTGCGTCACATGTCCCAGCACGGTCTTGTCCTTGGTCTCCCAGGTTCCCTCCCAGCGTTTCCCTCCTCCCCAGCCCCACCTTGCACGCCTTGTGTCGAGGGTCGGCTTCGCCGTGTCCCTCACTCCTCCTCGTTTCCCCCTACCGCCGCACCGCTGCATACCCTGCACCTGGACGTCTGGGTCCCCGCCCCCGTCCCTGGGCCACGTCGAGAGCGCTACTTCCTTGTGCTTGTCGACGACTTCACTCGTTACACCACAGTCTTTCCCCTGGAGCGCAAGGCCGACGTGCCTGGAGCTCTCATCCCCTGGCTTGTCTCTGCGCGTGTCCACCGCGGTCTCCCTGAATTGCGTCTTCACTCAGACCGTGGTGGCGAGTTTGCCTCAGGTGTCCTTGGTCGCTTTTGTCGTGCGGAGGGCATTACCCAGACGTTCACCCTACCGGACTCCCCACAGCAGAATGGGGTCGCTGAGCGACGCATCGGTTTGGTCATGGAGGTGGCTCGCACCTCCATGATCCATGCCGGTGCACCCCATTTTCTGTGGCCGTTCGCTGTGCACTACGCTTCTCACCAGCTTAACTTGTGGCCGCACCCTCAGCAGCCGCAGGTTTCGCCGACCCGTCTTTGGATTGGGTCTCCTGGTGACGTGTCTGCGTTCCACATCTGGGGCTGCCTTGCTCATGTCCGTGCCTCCGGCACGGACAAGCTCACTGCCCGCACCCTTCCGTGCGTCTTCCTCGGTTTTCCCCTTGACGCGTCCGACTGGCACTTTTACCACCCGCCGTCTCACCGCTTCTTTCACTCTCGTGACGTCACCTTTGACGAGTCTGTCTCCTACTACCGTCGCTTCCCCCACCGTGGTCCCCCAGTTACCCCCCCCCTGTTCCTGGTCACTCCGTTCCCGATCATCCCTGCCCCTCCTCCTCCTCTTCCCCGTCCTGCCCCCTCTGGTGTGTCCCACGTCACCCCGCTTCCGTCGGTGGACCTGGTTGAGGAGTCTTCTGACTCAGGTGGCCCTCCTGTTCAGTCCTCGCCGGCCGCCCCTCCCCTGGCGTCCTCTCCCCAGTCCCCCCCTCCACCGCCGCTGCCGCCGCTGCAGCCGTCGTTGTCGCGGCCCCCGCCGCCGCCACCGTCGCCACCCCCGTTCGCTGACTCTGGGGGTGCTCGTCCCGGTAGCCCTGGGGGTGGTCCCTCTGGGGGTGCTGGTGTGGAGAGTGCCGGTGGTAGCCGACGAGCAGCTTGCGGTCCAGGTGTCGCCGTTGTGCCGCCGCAGCAGCAGTCCCCGCCGGTGTCAGCCCTTCGCCTGCTCGGCCTTCCGTCCCCCGACCCTGCGTCGGTTCCTCCCCGACCGTCTCCTCCTCTTCCTGTCTACGGCCCTGTCTTCCCTCCACCGGACTCGTCCCCTGCCCGTCTCCCCCCTCGTTCCCCTCCTGTGTCCCCTCCTCTGTCTCCTGACCCGACTCCTCCGTCGCACGTCTGGT